CACTGCAGGGAGCTGTGTGTCCCATACACCCTGTGTCTCATGTGTGTCCCCGTGTGTCACACTGCAGGGAGCTGTGTGTCCCATACACCCTGTGTGTGTCACATGTGTGTCCTCAATGAAAGGCCACTCTTGGAGGGGGCGTGAAGGGGGAGACAGGGAGGGGTGCGAGGGATCAGGCCACCAGGCTCAAGGAGGCAGTCGTGGCTGGTTACAGTGGAGAGGGCGGGGCGCCTGAGGGGCTGCCCAGCACGTGTGTCCCCCAACGGGCCGCGTCCTCACCGTGGTCGTTGTGCCGGGCCAGGTCCTGTGGGTCGATGAGGAGGTCGTGGTCCGTGTCGAGCTCCCAGAACTTGCAGTAAATCACGTAGAAGTGTTCGTAGGAGAAGTACTCTGTCAGCTGGTTGATGTCCACCTCCTCCTCCAGGAGCGCCACGTTCTGCCAAGACAAACCGGGAGAAACCGCTGCACGACGGGCGGGCAGTTTCCATAGGAGACGGCCTCCAGGGGGCCCCTACAGCAGGCTCACATTATGAGGGTGGAGGGCTCAGAGCTGGTCGAGACTGGCTCGAGGGTCGGGAGCACAGCGCCCGGGTCAGGGGTGCACCCAGGTCAGGGCTGTGCCTGAGACCCGGCCTGCCCACCCGCCAGCAATGCGGAGCAGCACAGTGAGCACAAACGCTCTCACAGGAGGGCCTCCTGACGTGGGCAGGTCAGCACCCCCGGTGCCCAGATGGATGGATGGTGGATGGTGGACGGTGGATGAGTGGATGGAAGGATGGGTGGATGGAAGGATGTGTGCTGGATGGATGGAGGGCTGGGTGGATGGGTGAGTAGATGGTGGGTGGTGGGTGGTGGATGGTGGATGGAAGGATGGGTGGATGGGTGAGTAGATGGCGGATGGTGCACAGAAGGATGGATGGAAGATGGATGGACAGGTGGATGTTGGATGGATGGATGGAAGTATGATGGATGGGTGGGTGGATGGCAGATGACGGGTGGATGGAAAGACGGTGGGTGCATAGGTAGGTGGATGGCTGGGTGGTAAATGGATGGGCAGGTGCATGTTCAGAGGTCCTGTGCCCCACCAGCCGGCCGCCTACCTGCAGGAACGTGCTTCTCCGTAGCTCTGCACAGGTGATCCTCCCCGACCAGGACCTGTTGACCGTGTAGAAGATCCTCTGTATGACCTGTGGGAGGAGGACTGTCAACCGAGCCCCAGGATGCCGGGGGCTGCAGGTCCTCAAATGTGACCCCACATGTGAGCCCGCCCGTGACCCCTCCTGGGACCTGTGTCTGACCTCAAGTCTGCACTCCCAAGGGACTCAGGATGCCTGGGCTGCAGAAGCCCTCGTCGCCAGCAGAGGGCGCCCGCCCCACACACATCAGACAGTGGCTCAGGGACAAGGTCCAGCCTCGGGCAGCAGGGAGGCCCCCAGGTGACCGGGAGGGGCTACCTGTCTGCCCAGTAGGAGTATCTGCGTCTGCCACACTCAGGTGGGCCTGTGCACAAGATGGACACACCTGAGCTGGGATGGGGCCGTGGACAGGAGTTCCCAAAAGGCTGGAAGTCCATGTCACGGTGCGGTTTGGTGAGAAAAACCCGGCTCTGAACACTTCCACACACACTTAACCCACCACTGGAGGGAAAGCAACAACTTAAGGCTGGAGAGGGACACTTCCTCTAAACAGTGAGGCTGACCGTGCACACAGGGCTCGGCTCGGGTTCCATTCGAGGACGGCCCCTCACCTGTCCTCCTCCTAGGATGTCCCCTCACCTGTCCTCCTCCCGGGACATCGCCTCACCTGTCCCCGTCCTAAGATGTCCCCTCACCTGTCCTCCTCCCGGGACATCGCCTC